TTCAAGGTTTTATCAATACTAGAACGTTAGTACCAGAACATCCTTAAGTTTGAGTGCGCAACAAACGCGGAGAAGGGGAAAACGACCACGAGTATAAATATCGTTGCCCGGATAGCAACGAAGTCTTTTGTTCCGGGTTTTATCTCGAGTCGAGTCCGCGTAATAAAAGTCCCGCAAAGTATTGCGTCATTCCGAGTGTCCGTTATTCAGCGAGCGAAATAAACACCGACGTGAAGAATTATCTCGATCGGACGTCGCGAGTACGGATTACGATTCCGAAACGGATCTAGCGAGAGTTTTTTGCGCATTTTGTAAGACGTTATTCCCGAATTATTATACGCGATTTCGGTTATCGTGAAAGCGTTCATGCGTTATAGCGCTGTATCGGTCGTGGCAGGGTCGAGTCGTTTCCGCGGTGCATTTGGTGACGCAAACCGAATTGCGTTTAACGCGCGTCTTTGAAAGCTGGAATTACCGGACGTTCGAGATTGCGTAATCCGCGAAGCGCGAATTATCGTGTGCGCGGACCTTTGAATGTGAGTGCGTTGAAACGTGTATGAGTGTTTGAACCATCCCAATCAGCAAAGAAATGTTTTTTTAATGTTTCTTAAACGTTTCTTTTTCATTGCAAAAACCGTTTAAAAAACATTTATAAAACATTTAATCAATGGGATAGATCCTTTTTTATTGATTAAAAAAACGTTTTTTTAACATTTAAAAAACGTTTTCTTAACATTTAAAAAGCGTTTATTTTACATTTAAAAATGTTTTTTTAACGTTAATAAAATGTATTTTTAACATTTTATAAATGTTAATCAGAGATACTTAGTCAATTTTTGTATTTGCTAATTAAATAGTAATTTTTTTAATGTATAATAAACATATTTTTATTATTTTCATTTGAATACAAAACTTGTAATTATAAGTAATTATAAAAGTATGTAATTATAAAAAGTAATTATATGTAGTTATATGTAATTATAAAAAATAAGAATAAGTTGAAAATTTGCAGTGTTATTCCGTCGATTTTCAGGATTCCATTTCTTCATCATCGCTTTTAGAAGCATTACTACTTTTACTTGCATCATCGTCGCTTTTCGTATATTTGTTCTCGTCGCTATTATTATTACATCTGTCTGCATCAAAATCATCGTCGCTTTCTATGTCTTCTTCCTTATAGCCGCCGTTATTTTTACACCTGTATAATAATATAATGATAAATAATATAATATAATGATAAATAATATAATGATAAAAAATAAACGTGTAGGTATAAAATATTATAAATACAGATGACTCATCTATCACACACGAAAAAACAATAATTGTAGTGCTCACTTTCTTTTTTGTATCCGTGAGGGGGCTTGAGACAGCCATATTCCGGCTTTCCTGCCAAATATAGTCTCATTAATTTGCGGGAATTTTTGGACCATTACTTCTGTAAATATAAAATGTTACGTGAAAATATCGTATATAAGATAAAAACGTGTCTTACTTTAAAACAATGTAAGTTTACCTAGCATTATTTTATTGATACAATGTCCCTTTAATTTTTGCTTTTCCCCTCTTTGGCCCTTCCAATTGAAAAGAGATGCTAATTTATCATCAAATATGATTCGCATGATCGAATTAATCCTTTTTTGAAGGGTATCACCCACAACTTCTCCACATAGTGATTCAATCTAAATATTTTAAAAAGCTGAGTTATTAATGTAACACAAAATATAAAATAGATAAAGTATTTATATTCTTACCAATCTAGAACGGTAAGTGTCGTCGTTCTTTAATTTTTTTTCAACTGCTTTAAGTTCCTCTACAGTTAAGAGTGGAAATGTATCCAACAAATTTGGACGCTTTTGCGGCAAAGGTTGCTCTTTTGATGGACTTTTATTATTGAGCAGTTCTGACTCTATTAAACTGTTAATAGTTTTCTCTGTTACTTTTTGCATTAACTTACATGACGACAATTGATCTGAAAAAAGAAAAACCAAAAAAGCTCTTATTAATTATCTCAATTTTGATGTACAGAAGTAAATATAAATTTAATTTTAGAAAATTTCAAATTATTACATTAAGAATAATGGAAAGAGAACAAATGGAAAGTTATTAAAGTTTTTAAAAAGATTTACAACTTTTCTGCGACGTAAAATTTTATAAGGGAACTGAGTAACTTTTTTGTTTAAAATTGGAAATATGGATATAATATTTGTTCATGGTTAATACTAAAAATACATAAAAAAATATTTAAAAAATATATAATTTTTTCTTCAAAATGCGTGCGAGTGTGCGCATAAGCTCTGATAAAGTTTAGCTTTTTTGTTGGTAGTCTGCATTTACATATAAAATATCTGATACACTAATGTCATATGTCATATGTCTTATGTCATACGTGTATGTTATTGATGTATGCTAATTCATTTTCATGTATATTATATTCATGTATATACATACATGTATATTACAATATATATTCCATGATTTCTTCATATTTTAGATCTGAACAATAGAATAATTTTGTTGTATAATAGCTCATTTCCTTTAGAGAGGCACTCTATCAACCATCGAGCGAATATTAAATAATCGAATTGGAATTTTGGAATGTCGATTTTATTTTACAAGTCTTGATGGTCGGTAGAATATGTTCTTACAAAAAAAATGAATTAGGATACATCAATAACATATATACGTATGACATAAGACATATGACATATGACATTAGTGTATCAGATATTTTATATGTAAATGCAGACTACCAACAAAAAAGCTAAACTTTATCAGAGCTTATGCACACACTCGCACGCATTTTGAAGAAAAAATT